CGCCTAATGAACCTTTTACATCATTTTCAACGCCGCTTTAATAAAATGAATCACAAGCTCGAACCCTGCGAAATGAAATATACGCGTTGTTCGTACAAACGGTATTTGGTTTATACAGTATACAAATTTATAATATAGTCCAATGTGCGATTAAATTAAAACTTAACCCAGACTGTAGTGCCGGCGGATTGCTTGCTACGTTTAATGCGATCATTATTGGACGTTTAAGGGATTCATTAAACTCTCTACGAACCGATTAACCCGGCATAACAGAATAATTGTTTGAGTAGAGTATGCACCCGCACACCATTACAGATTACCTGTACTCGATCCCCTACAGAAAGTTTTGGGTTCGTCCCGAGGCTCGTTTCGGCTAACGCGGTTAATATAACTAATACTACTTTATTACACCAAACGTTGAGGTGAGTATATTAGGGCAGTGTACATATACCTACGTACTTTAACCACACGTATACACACGTTTATATTGATCTATATATTACATGCTTATATGACATTACGTTTATGATTAAAGACTCTCGCGAGATGTATTTTTAAGGAGATACCGTGTTAATAAGAACGTAGGTATAAGCCACACCTAACGATAATTTATCTAGTGTGATACTGATCTATTTTAGAAGGAACCTGCGGAAAAATAGTTCTGAAAACCCAACTTTTGCCAAGGAAAACTTTATACAACATTCGTTTTGAAGTTCAAACTTGTGGAAAATGGGGGAAGTTACATTACATTACATACATCAACTTTATGACTCTGCGCCGGAACGCTGTTCTGCAACCACGAGTAAAATTAAAACTTATTTGCATAGTACATTGTACACCGAGATTAATTCAGAACTTCTTCCGTTATCTATTTCAAAAAGAATATTTAAAGATTTGTAATTAATTGTTAAAGTTGTTCTTGTTTTTGTTAATTCATTTTTTAAATTAATATTAACCAACAAAAAATTTAATGCCTTAATGTTGCGTTTCATATTATCGCTATTTGTGTTACATATTTTCTTGTTCGATTTAAGGCACGGCAGACACCGTTCTCGTAGATGGGGTTTGTTTAAGCATATTTACAGTCTCTATTCATGCCTTTATTTGATGTACGACGGCTGTTTTCGTAAAAATGTTTTTATCAAAAATAATAATACCTTCTAGATATATTTAAATATATTAATTGTGTAACTTGTGTATATTGCACTTGGTGTGTATATTTATGTAAATATTTTTTTAATTTAATGTTATTATTAAGATAGCGTTAAATTTGGATAGTCTAAATATATACGAGTATTTATCGAACTGATAGCTCATAAGTCATAAGTCTTACGGCAACTCAAAAACGTCGGGCTGCCGGATCTGTTTTGTTTTTTTTTTAATAAAAAGTTATTTCTCTCTAATACAAAGAAGAAAGTGAAATACTACTTTTTAATTAATTCAAATTGATTTATTTTGTTGGTAGTTGACATTGAACGATGATAAAAAAAAACATAATTTGTCAGCAAACGTTTTACCTGATTTAATAAAATTTTCGAATCAGCGGCTTGGATTAAATTGGGTACATTTTTAAAAAGAAATTTCAAAGAAGGGAGAAGTGAAGTGAAGGTGGTCACATTAAAGAGATTAATTAATGTAGCAGATGGCGTACGTAGGTATATCACGAATAAAAAATAAAATTAGAACGTACAAAATATAAGATTTCAACAAAAATTAATAGGTATTAAGTTCTCGTTTGTTTTAAAATCACGAGTTTTTCAAACGCAAATAAACATTTTAAAAAGTTATTTGAATATTCTGTAAACTCTTTAGTGTTGGCCTAATTAAATCAAGAATAGGAAATTAAATTTTTTGAAAAAAGGTAAAAAAATCGTCGGAAATAACACTTCACCCTTCGCAAATGTATAGTTATAGTGCAATAAAAGGATTCCGGAGGTCCCAGATGTTTACTCCCCTTCGAGAATAGCTAATTTTGATTATTAAATAATAAATTTAAACAACTAATTATAACCTTTTTAGGCTTTTTATACGATTTCATACAGAAAGGACAATAAATTCAAATAAATTACTATAGGTATATGACGCATAAGTATAGAATATATTAGAACATACATTTTGAATACATACGATATTATTATTTTTTAATTACATACATAGTAATAATAATAATAATAATATGTATTTAATGGCGTAAACTAATAAATATTTGACCTAACCTTAAACCTACCTACATTGTCCGCACGGTATAATTTATTCGACATGAGTTGAATGCTGATCGATCCGGTATCGGTGCGGAACGTCATGGGATTATATTAAGCCTCGAGGCTTAGCTAGGAAGATGGATTTTTCAATGTCCTCTCCGCCGGTATGGGTTTCCTCGCTCTAATATGTTTCATATCAAATATACATTACCAAAGGTTTTTTTCAAAAAAAAAAAATAATAATAATAAAGAAAAAAATCCTTACTGAGAATAAGGCACATACCTATTCCGGTAACTATACGTATTAACAGTGCGCTAATAGCATTCTAAGGATTCTTTGAACGAAAAATGGAAATTTACTTTAATAAATATTACAACATGCAGGCGGTCCACAATAGGAAACGTGAATCAGACGTAGTGTTTCCCGACTTTGAAAATCATATAACTAGGTATATATTAAAAAAAAAAAAAATTAATACCATCGTGTTTCATGTCGAAGCTAAAAAAATATAAGTTAAAACAAGCAATATAATAATATAGGTATACTATTATATTATATAATATAAATTATAATAGGTACTTTGAGTGCCAAGAATATCTCAAATGCTTTTGGTCCCTTTGACGAAAAAAAAGCCCGACGTAACTATATTATATTATTATTTCTGACCGATATTTGCATAAAAAATGGGCACAAATTTGAAGAAAATATTATAATAATATTTTGTAAACATATTATATAAATCTTGAAACCCTACAAAAAAAAAAGCTATGGTGTGGCAGTTAAAAAAGCTTAGGTAAAAAAATGTGACCGTTACAACGAATAAGTAAAAATACAATTTTTTTTCTTCGGTTATTTAATTTTCATTAGCGAGTATTATAAAATAATATTTACATTTAACAGTTATTATTTTGAATGAACCCAAGAAAACCTATTTGTTGTATAAAACCAAATAATTTATAATCGTGTTATCAGTCATTATGTACACATACAAAATAGTGTAACACCAATTTAAAATATGTACAAAAATATTTTTAAAAATGTATTAAACTATAATTTCAAAATTCAACCGAATTTTATGCATTTTTGAAACAGCATTAATCAAGGGCCTAAAAAGCTAAAAAGTTTTCAACTAAAAAAAACAACAGTTTTAATGTTTATGTAAAGTTTAAATACCGAATGCAACGTACTACATCCCGTTTTTCATTTTCCCTCACTATAAATGATTTAAAGTCATGTAATTAAATTATACGTGTGTAAATTATTCATCAAGGGTAAATAATTGCCAATTTTTTTAACTTTTTAAAGATATATATATATAACAAAGAAGGAAGAGTAATGGTAAGAGAAATTTATGATTATATATCACAAGCATAATTTGTTGGTAGAAAGAAATTAACAAATTAATTTTACTTAATAACGTATGTTTTACTTTACTACGTGATATACTTATTTTACTCACCAAGTTGTTAGTATAAATAATTATATTTAACAACTAATGATCGTTTTCAACGGTTTAACTAATTAATTAAGTACAGTAAAAAAATACTAAAACCATAGACTAAACTGTACTTTTAAATTTTAATGGCCAAAATGGTGAACCGGCCACGTAAGTTATTGTTTTTAGCCGTCATGTTTATTAAATAATAATAGACCCGTGCGAAGTTTGATTTCTAAAAAGCATTTATGAAAGCTGTAAAAGGGCAAAGTTATTAGGCGAAATTGCTTTTGGGGCACAATATGTGTCATGTTGCGCAGTTGAATAAAGAATAACAGTAATCGAAAAATCGGGACGGAAAAAAACACTCGCTGGGTAGTTTTGTGCTTTTTTTTCTTTGCCAAGAGCCTGTTCTTTATTAACATTTAACAGTGCGCTTTTCGGGATTTTAAAACCCGCATTGGCTTGTTGATCTCCAAAAGTATCTAATTATTAGTAATAATGCGGACAAACGTTCCCGTTGGATGTATACATTTAACATTATTATGTAGAACTTGCAGTAAACGGATACGAATTGTACAATTGGCGCCGTCCTGACAAGTCACACCCCCCTCCCCCGACACCCGTTTGCGATGATATCAAATTATACATATTGTGTATTATTACTATTACTACGGCGATAATTATCGGGAGAGCTGAGAAGCGTGCGCGGCTGGCGGCGGTTGTCAGTACTAGAATGGCCGAGATTGTTTTAGGGAATTATAATTTATTATTTCATTGTTGTCCGTCTTGACTATTTTACACTCGACGATGGTCTTGACCGGTCCGTTATCGATGGCCAATCAACTATCGATAGCGGATCTTCTTATCACGAGGTCGGGCGGCTGCCACGGCGACCTTGCGCGTCCGTCGGCCGAGGAACGGGGTAACACACATAAGGTAGGCCGACAACGCGTGCCAGCCGCAAAATGGCCGTCGGCCGTTTCGGACTCCGAAGGTTTTTAAGCGACCACGCTGGCGGCCATTCCGTAAAAATTGATAATACAATTTGCCGACATACCATTACACGGCCTACGGGAACACGCTAATGACGGTGGGGGCCAGCAGTTGGCGAAGAGTTAACCCGACCGACAGCGCGGTGCCGGCAGGCGGCACTAATATCGATAGTACACGCGCCGCCGCCGTCCACTGGCAATCCCCTTTGCACACTCCCCTCCCTTAAAATATATATATATACCCATGGACATATACGTATATATATATATATATATGTGTGTGTGTGTTATATATCGAGTAAGGATGTAGTAGTGGAGACCGACGACGAAAACGGCACCAGCGGTTGATCTGTCGGCGGCAACTCTATTATCAATTCCAAGGCGGCAGCGGCGGCGGTCGTCGTGCGTGCATTCGCTGTTGTGAACCCTAGCGTATACGACTGCTATTGGTGACTGTGCGACTTCGACGATTGGTATTTCGCACCAGTCGGATAATATTAGTAATAATATTTCTTAGTATTATTATTACTCTTATTATTATCCTTATCATCCGTCGTTATCGTCCTCACGATGGTTTTGTGATCTTGCTTGCTGCTGCTGCTGTTGCCGAATCTGCTTGAATCCTAGACTCACAACAGACACCTGGACCATCGAAGAACTGTTGGCGAACAATTATTATGATAAACAACTATATGGCATCGGTTTTTGAAAAATTATATCAATGAGCAACGTGGAGAAAAAACTAGAATCCGACAACGGTGCAGGTCGACTAACAACAGCTACAATGGAACAACTGTTTACGGGTACAATACGCATCAAATTATGCAAAGCATCCGGATTACGGCCTACCGACTTACAGACTCGCCTTAAGAACATGTCATTCCTGAAACCCGAAGACCCGTTGCTCGACGCCTATGTCAGCATCGATGTGGACGACAATATACTGTTGAGGTCACAGACTGTACCCAAGACATATGATCCTGTATGGAACGAATATTTTACTCAAGACGTACATGAAGCCAACAAGCTGGGTCTAACCGTATTCCACGACGCTGTCATTGAAGATCTATTTGTGGCTAACTGCAAATTATCATTTAGCGAGCTTATTCAACGCGAGAAATCTGAAGACCAAGAGTTCTGGGTAAGCATACTTGTATCGACTTGTTCTACTATTATAAAATTTAACTAACCCTAGCTTTCATGTTTATTGGTAAAATTCAAATAATTTATCATATTAAACTTAAATTAAAAATATTTATGAAGAAAAGGAAACCACCAACATTCATAATTTTATAGTAACAATAGTTTTTATAAATAAAATTAAAAATACAATTTTATTAGTATTTAAATTTTAAATAATATTTCAGTTGATTTTCCTATAGCTAATATAAGTCATACTATTTTGTAGTTATTTTTTTTTGAACAAATAGTATAGACTACACTACTGATTTCTATGATATGCGATTACTTTAAATATTTTGTTTCAACGCTTTAAAGAAAAATAGTTAATTCATTTCAAAAATGTTTTAATCTATTGCAAATCAAAAACTCATTTTTATTTATTGATTTATTTTCATTCTATTGAACAATTCATATACAATGATGTTTTTATCACTAATAATAAATCTATACTATTGATGTTTTAAAAGATTTATTGGATATATAATATATATACACACAGGATTATTTTTATTTCATGTTACAGTGATTGTATTTAATGATAAAAAATTGTTATTTAATATTTAGTAAAAAAATAATTGTTAAAAGTCAAATACCAACATGCGTATTAACTGTTTATTAACTGTTAAAAGTAGAATGCTGTAAAAAAAACATTAACTGGTTGAATGTTGAGTGTGAGTGAGTGATGCATGTGGGTATAAATAATATTACAGTATACCTCATCCCAGTCTAAACCTTTAAATACTAATGGCTTAATAAACATTTAATATTTATTCTAAATTGTTTATCAACTAGCCATTATTTTGGACTTTTGAAACAAATTATTAATTTCATACATTTTTCAGTTTTAAATGCTGTAAAAAGATTCTCTTAAAAAAATCATAGCTGTATAACCCAATATTACCATGTGCCGAAATCGATTCAAAGTTTTAAGTTTAAGTAACATGGGATTTTCAAAAAGCTTTAGTTATATTGTTTCAGGTTCACAAAACTCACCTTAAATTTCAAAAACAGCATGCACAGTGTTTGAGTATAATTGATTATCTATATTTATTTATCTATAATCGGATAATCCATCTAATATAGTTTGGCTCCCTGCCGTAAAACGATATGGTAGCCGGCCGTTTTGGCGGCTCATGAGGCCCATGAAACTTATTTAAAGTTTCCCATCTGGTTATTTTGTGGTATGCGCCATTTATCATTACAGGTTTTCGAACGCCCTTAATCAATTCCCAAAATCGCAATATCTATATCTATGAATGGTAAACGCTTTTTCACCAGTTTAACATTTGGAACCGACATTATTGGTGAGGTATACCAGAAAAATGAAAAAACAACATAACGTGTCTATCCACATCATGTACGGAATTTTTGGAATTTTTCGTGACCCTGAAAAACAATAGTAATTACAGCTTATTGAAATTCCAAAGTTATTAACCGAAATAAAACTCGCCGTAAATGTTTAAACGTAAAACTTTCAATCGAATTCAGCACAGGTTTATATTGAGATAGGTACAGCTATAATATTTTGAGTTTTTTTTTTCATCATATAAAACCGAAAAGTTTTGTGAAAATTGTGTTTAAAATGAGAATATTTTCAAGGAAAAACTAATCATTTAAATATTTTTAGTTTTATAAATTTAGGCTCGCCTTGTAATTTATATCAATAACATATAATACACATTATTATATTGGTCGGTATTGATAAAAACTAAATAGTTAAGTCAGAAAAACTTTGTAAATAAAGGTTTAGTGTTAATTAAAACTGTTAAAATAATCTGGTAAAAACGTATGCGATTTAATTTTTGAATTACATCTGAAGCGAGACCTCAATATAATCTGATGATACAAGTCAGTTCACTATAAAAAGTGAATCTTTATTTTTCTATTTTACGTTCTTTGCAAGCAGACCAAATGGCTATACTAGAAAATAATCCTTTTAAATCACTTTTGCCCCATTTCTTTAATGCACAACTCATCCTTTGACCACGATTTTTCTCGGAAGATGTTCATAGACGTATAAGTTTAAAATACTATCAATTTCTCCATTTAAAAATCGAGATAATACTTAAATCTGTCGAACTAATAATAAATGTCACTAAGAACGTTCAGAAAAACAATAGTAAAGATGATTTTTAATTAACAGAAAAAATATTAAAATGACCAACATAAATGTCGATTTAATTGAAAAACAATTTTGGCAGTGACGAAAGAGAACAACGCGTTCATTAGAAATGCAAATCTCGACGTGAAACATAAAAAATATTTTGGTAAATTTCCGGTGATAATTTTCCATTGAAAACATTGATGTTTCGAAGTTACAGTTCAAACGTTATGCGCTTTTATCGTGAAATCAGTATTAATGGAAAATCATTAACGTTTCGTGTCAAAGTAAGTTAGTTTTCTCAGAGATAAAAAAAAAAATCAAATAAGTTATTTCGTCGCCGTACCGCCCATCTTGTGTCTCTTGCCACTATATAGAAGCGATTGTGGCAATTACGGAAAATCCTAAAGTCGAAAACTTCTCAACAAAACTCGTCACGATAAATTTCACTTAAAACTTGAACGTGGTAGGGGGGAGGTGTCCTCGCCATTACCAGTTGCTATAATCGAGTGAAGTTAAACGATGCAACGATTTATAAGACGTTGCACTCGAAACGGCTAATTGTTATTACTATTAAATAAAATATATTCAATATTGATTTCAACTTTAGGAAGCTCGTCGTTTTTTGTATTTACACGACATAAGTAATGTACAATTTTCGAGTCAAATATTGATGGGCAACAAAAAAGACGCCTGCGACAAAAGTTATAAAATCATTTTGAAAACGAAACTGTCGGTGACGACCGCAGTAATCGACATTAAATCAAAAAACCTAAATATTTTCACTGTATAGAATAGGTAATAAAATGGTCGTGGACCACCGGCTAACGGTGAAAATACCCCAAGCCGCGTTTGCGATGGGTTTGACCCTAGTCGATAACTTTGCCGGCAGCCGTGGTGGAAAACGTCGAATGGTTGTTTCCAGACGTTTTCGACCTTAGTGTGAACACGCATTATCTAATCAAAACTTTTACATTACGTGTACGACGACCGTGACGCCGGTGTGAGTTGGTCGAAAATACGAAATGTTATGGGGGCAAGTTTATAACAAGGTTTGGCTAGCGTTAAACTCGGATTCAGCTGAATTCGAAACTCTATTTCGTAGGCCTTTCAGACTTAGCGGCGTTCGCTCTAGACGCGTTAACAGGAGGGAAAAAACCCCGGTAGGTCCTAATCTCCACACGAATATCAAAAAGTTTTTTTATCGGCCGTTCTATGTTTTTGGTTTTGGTTTTTTTCATCCTTTTCCGATTTAAATATTCCAAAGCCCATAATACACGGTAGGCAGGTACAAAGCAAAACCGTATTGTGTTTGCAAAATAGTCTTCCGGCGTGTAATTTAACCCGCATAACCTTCGGCCGTAACGAGAAAAGGGTGAGCGCCAAAGAGGTGTCTACGCCTCGAGCGCAACATTTGAAAGGGCGCATAAATTTGAATGACTTAGCCAAAAGCAAACAAAAGAAACGACATCGTGTACACAAAATCTGGGTAATTTGCTAGTGTAAACTTTAAAACCGTATAACGGGGTGTGGTTTGTAGTGTCTGAAAAAGGCGCTTAGAGTTCAGAAATTATTACAAATGAACACAAATTTGAGAATTAAGCCATCGGCACAAATCAATTGTACAACAAAGTACAGTGTATAGAAAACATGCCTCCTGGATCCATTATGGTAGGTAAGTGTACAAAAATAACCCGAAAACTACGATTGTGTTTATTTATATTTTCACGAACGCCCGTCCGTTTAATGGAGGCGGCACCGTACATTCCTTAATACAATTTCTATACACATACGTGTGTTGTATCTGTTGTAATTCGTATACTACACCAGAGATTTATATCTTTAACTTTGCTTCAATAGCACAAAATATAACGAAAACTATTCATTTGTATTCGTTAATGCTTTATACGTTGTATAAAAACCGCAATTGTACAATAACTCGAAGAAAAAATAATTCTCGAGTTATACAAAGAACATCATTACACTATCTAGACAAAAAAAAACCACAAGGTTACATTTCACATACCTAAAAAATACTCTAATATAACCCATTTATTATGCGCGTCATTTGTTCTTTTCTGATGGAATAATCTTAGAATCCTTAAAATTGAAAATTTTAGCATACGCAACGACACCGCGTAATAAATATTTGAGTGCCCTCGAGAATATCCGTGCACTTAACTTAAATAAATAACAAAAATGTTTGATTTAAATACCTTTTAACACCTTCTCATGAAATTGAATTAACATAAAATCTATAAAGATAATTTATTTTGTATTTTTTCGTGAATGAATTACCTTCCATCAAATTTTTATTAAAAAATAGCATCTCTGCTCTGCATCGAAGCTAAAACAAGTTATTTTGTGTGACACAAAACCTATGTGTTTATATTTTTCATTTGATACTGCGAATACAAACATAATCATTAAGTCAGTCAGAAAATGTACATTTTAAATTAATAACCACAATATAAAACTAGGGAAATTTTGTATTTTTCCTATTTAGTAGGTGATCGACCTGTTCATTTGACAATTTTTAAATCTATAAGGTTTAAAAATTAAGTCTCGACCTGTAAGACTGTCCAAGCCTTAGAAAAATCTATCGTAAGCATACATTTTGAAAAACAAAGGGCGGTGCACTGTCAAAAAGTTATAAAAACATCAGATGAGTCACCTCGGGTGAGTCACCTGATGTTAGTACCATAGTACAGTATGTGTACTGTTCACTATAAATTACTTTATAACAGTCAGGTGAATGGGTCAGACAGAAACAAGCTATTTTTGGCTATAGGGTTTCGTTCCTTAATCGGTAGGTAAACCATATACTTGAATATTTTAAGCTATATATTTTTAGTTTG